TTGCTTGAATCATTTTTAACTCTTTATATCGCTTATTTGTCCTACTACAATTTTCATGTCATCAACCCACTTAAGGTTTGGTTTCCCATCTTATATTCTTGGAATTTCAGAAGGGCACAGCAAGGGGCAACAGTGATGAGACAGAAAAACAATCCACATAAATCCCTCCCAAACAACAAAATAAATGAAACATATTTTTAGAATTTTCTCTATAACCTGTGTTTCACAATGAGGTAGAAGATTGCATTATTACATTGTGTAGATGTTTATTCTGTACTTAATAGTGCATTTAGCCATGGTACACATCCCAATCCTTTGTTCTAAACCAGAATTCACCTTGTAGGCTTACAGTATATAAAACTGATGTCAATGTCAACTTGGTCAGAAAGCATAAAGAAATGAGACCCTAAAATGAAAAACATCTTTAAACATTTTTTAAACATCTTTAAGCATTTGCAAATTTTGCAAATTAAGTTTGKGGTGTTTTGATGTGCCTTCCAAGGACTTTTGAGGCCTTGAAGTCCTCTTTCTTCTCATTTCTACCAGACAAGCTAGAAACATATTATGAGCTGAAGGGAAGGCAATTTGTTTCCTGCTAGAAGCACTGYCATTCTGTTTCCACTGTGAAAGAGCCACACATGCTGCATCATTGCAACTTAGAAAATGAAACTCAATCTAAACTAAAAGCTTTTAATGCAAAATAAGTTTAAACATTAAGTTTAAACTGCCCTATGCATTGTTAATGCAAACAAGATACAAATATTCATTAGTCTGTAGTACTTTTTTCTAAAGCTTTTCTTTAGAACACTGTTCTAAGATGGGGATCCCAGGAAACCACAGGATGGATTGAAGTTATGCTGGAAAATTTGCAGCTGCTTTTGAAATGTCTGACTGYATGTAAAAGAGAAGAATTTGAGCCAGGCTCCAAACAGCTTTAGGCAAGAATGGCTGATGGAATGTTGCTGTAAGGGCTGCAAAGGCTGCAAACCAATTACTGTGTGATGGAATAAAACCAGATAATGGTGGAYGCTGATAAGTGACTTGCAGCATAGCTCAGGAAAAGGATTTGTTCTTCTAGCTTGCTTATGTTTGGAGAGTTTGAGGTGAAACCTAATGATTCGTGTCTGCTAGCCAAATAAATCATTCAGTACTGGACAGCTATCAAAACTGGACTCTGGCTATTTGGAGAGAGTGAAAGCAGAAAAAAAAAAATCTTAAATTCTGAAAGCTCTGAATGGCACTGAGCACAACACACTTCAGAAAATATGGCAAGTTCTCTGGAAATATAGACATGCTTTTGATAGCCAAGGCTAAAGAATGGTATGTCAATTTTTTGGAAGGAAAAATTATAAGTTATTTGGGAGTAGAACCTTATCTGAGAAACAATTAATGTAACAGTGACAGACAAACCAAACATAATTATGCATCACAGCAAATAATAGAATTCAAAAGTGTACTAGGTTTGCATGGACAGGTTTTGGTAGTGGAGGGGCTRCARGGAGAAACTGYAGGAAGCCTCTCCCATGTCTGACAAAGCCAATGCCAGCTGGCTCTAGCACCACTGCTGGTCAAGGTTCAGCCAATCAGAGATGGTGACAACACCTCTGAGAACAGATTTGAGAAGGAAAAAAAAAAAAAAAGGTATTGCACAGATTTAGTTGTGCTCAGAGAAGAGCAGGGTGAGAGGAATATGTCAGAGGAATAACTCTGCAGATGCCAAGGTCAGCGGAGGAGGAGGGGCAGGAGCTGCTCCAGGTCCTGAACTGAGTTTCCCCTGCAGCCCATGGTGCAGAACAGGGTGAGGCAGCTGTGCCCTGCAGCCCAGGGAGGTCAGTGGGACTGCACTGATCCACCTGCAGCCCATGGAGGACACCCACTCTGGAGCAGGTGGATGCCTGAGAGGAGGCTGTGAACCCACAGGAGGCCCATGATGGGCAGGATCCTGCAGACCCATGGAGAGAGGAGCCCACACTGGAGGTTTCCTAGTGGAACTGATGATACTGATGAACAGGCTGTTCTTGAAAGACCTCGTGGAAAAGTGACCCACATTGGGGCCGTTTGTGAAGAACTGTATCCCATGGGAAGGACTCAGGCTCGAGAAGTCAGTGGAGAACTGTGTCCTGTGGAAGGCACCCCACATACAGCAGGGGAAGGACTTCTCTCCCTTGAGCAAGTGAATGTGTGATGATYGGACTGTAATCCCCATTCCCTGCCTCTCTGCACCCCTTTGGGAGAGGAGGCAAAGCCCAGGAAGGAGAGAGGGAGTGGGGGGAGGTTTTTTTAAGATTTGTTTTGTTTCTCATCATCCTGCTCTGATTTTGATCAGTAATAAATTCAGTTAATATCCCCAAGTCGAGTCTGTTCTGCCTGTGACAAGAATTGGTGAGTGATGTCTCCCTGCCCTTATCTCAACTCATGAACCTTTTGTTATATTTTCTCTTCCTCGCCAGTCATGGAGGGCAGTGATACAGCAGCTATAATGGGGAGCTGGCATCCAGCCAGGGTCAATCCACCACAAAAAGCTTAGTGAAAAAACAAGTTGCTGGTGACAGACCAACAAAAGGGGTGCAGTATGACTGTTCGTATCTGCCAACTGATGTGCTGTAGTGACACACATGCAGTGGAGCTGGGCAAAATCTGCAGTGGCTGTTATATGCACACCATGAACAATTAAAGTAATTTAAAAAACAAAAA